GTCCTCCATGACGTTCGCAGAAAGCGGGATGTTCTGCAACGAGGAAGTGAAAGTGAAGGCATGTGTGTGCGTGTGTATATATATACACACAGATACACACTACACACATGCACAGATACACACAAAAAAAAAAACACGCACTTGTTTATCTAGTCCTTACAGCCCACCAACCCCAACCCAAGTATGAAACCGAACACCTGCAGCCTAAGAAATTCGACCGCCCTGCGGATCCCTTTGAACCTTCGGTGGATGTCGAAGAGGTGATATGGTTTTGGGGCTTAGACTTTATTCGGGTTTTCGGGCTCGGGGTTTGGGGTTCTGGGGTTTAGACTTTGTTCGGGATGCACGGCTCAGAGTTTAGGATTTTGGAGAGTTCAATTTTTAGGGTTCTGGTGGCAAGACTTTATGAGGGTTTGGGGCTTTCGACTTCACAGTTTAAGGAAGTTTAAGGGCTGAGGCCAAGACAGAACAAACCACCAAGCCCTTTCTTCTTGTGATCGACGGCCTTGAAGCCGTTCCTCGGCAGGTCTCTGAGAGGTGGAAGGCTCTAGCTTTTAGTTTCGGGTTTAGGGTCCAGGTTTTGGGTTTCTGCAAGCGAATACGGCAACGTCGCCGTAATAGGACCTAAACCCTAAACCCCATAAACCCTATAAACCCTAGGACCCACACCTTAAAACCTCAACCACAGGGCCAACAATTCATTTTGTTGTTGGCGCAGTAGGACAGGTTGGAGTCCAGGGTTGATCGCGACAGCAGTCAAGCTTCAGGGCTTCGGTGGAGTACTTCGTCGGTTCTTCAAGCCGTTACAAAGGCCCTATATAAACCCTAAACCCTAGACCCTAAACCTCAAACCCTAAACTCAAATCCTGAACCTTCAGCCCTGAAGTTGAAATTGAGGTTTTGTTTGCATTAGACTCCTTTTCTCCACTGCTGCTAATTTGGGCTGACTTTTAGCATCCCCCGGTACAAATTTTATGAAACCTCCTGCTTTGCAACTCCGGACAAAATCCACCCTGTCGCCAAGCTCTTAGACCACTGCCCCAGAGCCTACGTTGTCAGAACAGCTTCGGAAGTATATGGGTAGTTCTCTAAGCTAGGGTCCCCTTTTAGGTCCCCAATATAGCACTTTAGAGAACTACCCATATGATATCCTGCAGTACGAAATTAAAACTGGAGAAGCTGCAAGTTTTGGGGGTCAGAAGAATAGAGCCTGAGCTGCTGATGAACCTCGGGTTTAGGGTTTAGGTTTAAGCTTTAGGATCTAGGGATACTCTAACGCCTAAAACCCCTATACAACCCCATGTGGGTCTCATTATAAATAATACACCTTCATGAGAACATAGATGCTGTAATTAAAACATCTGGAAGACAGAAGTGTCAGCCCAAAACCCTAAAACCTAAACCCTAAGCCCGTTAAACCCTAAACCCCTAAACCCTAAACCCGAGGCTCCCAATCAGTACCAAAGCCTGAGAGAGCTTCGCGGCTGAGGTTTCAAGGTTTAGACTGGGCTCTTCTTAAGTTAAAGGAAACTACAGGTGGGGAGTGTAGGGTAAATAGGGCTTCCATAAGGCTTCTATAAGGTATATAGACCTTCCTATAACGGTAACTACCCACCTGAAAATATCCTAGATTTAAGTTACCATAATACGGAAACCACATTACTTACTATAGATCCCTACTATGTTACTATGTTAACTTAGATTGAATTCCTTAACTGACGCACTCAGTAGATTTGGCGAAGGTGCACAAGAATGGGAGCCAACCCTCAACCCTGAGCCCCTTAAACAAGGACTTCTTTCGAGGTTACAGCAGGCGTGGCTCAAGATTTAGTCTCCTCTAAACCCTAAGCCCTGGTTTCTTCGGTTCAAGAGCCTTGCATAGGGTTAAAGGACTTCAACCCCGGATGCCCGAAGCGCGGCCGCCGATGCCGATACTTCCTAACGAAGCTAAAGCAACCCCTAAAACCTAAACCCCAAAACCCTAAATCCCAAACCTCTAAATCCTAAATCCTAAACCCTAAACCCCAAACCCCCAAACCCTGAACCCCCCGGAGGAGAAGTATTCCTCCTCTGCCTCGGGCTGTCCCGTGCAGCCCGAGCGTCTTTTCAAGAAACTGGGAAACCTGCTCTTTTGCGCGCTGGATTTCGCCTGAATCTCGTCCTTGGCTCTCTCTCTCTCTCTCTCTCTCTCTCTCTCTCTCTCTCTTAGGTGCTTCTGGTGTTGGGTTTAGGATTCAGGGTTTAGGGTTTGGGGTTTCAGGGCTGTTTTTCTTGGGGCCGGTTGAAGAGGTTGAAGTTTTTGGAATTGTGGTCTTGCCAAGCCTCGCCTTGAAATGCTGTCTTTATTGGCAACAGCCATAGCAGTATGGACCATACCGATGATGATGTAAATCCTGCATTACCCATAGTTTAACATAATTCCCATAGTTTAATAGGTCCTCAAATGCGGGATTTATACTACCAACAGTAGCAACAACCATGGGCTTAATCTTCTAGTATCTCAGTATCGGGGCCTTAAGCATCAGAAGTGGGTTTGGGGAATATCTTGTCCGATAGCTACATCGACTCGAAGAAAAGAGTTTCAAGTACTTAGACCCCTTTACTGCCTCAGCCCCTAAGCCCTAAAACCTAAACCTAAGCCCCCAAACCCTAAACCTAAACCCCACACCCTGAATCTAAACCATAAACCCTAAACCCTAAAACCCAAACCTAAACCTAAACCTAAACCCTAAACCCTGAAACCTAAACCTAAGACTCGGAACCGCTAAAACCTAAACCCCAAAACCTAACCCGTAAACCCTGACAGTTGGGACCAGGGTTCGAGGTTCGAGGGCCTTATCTGAACCTTGAGTTGGGCAGGAATAGATCTGCAGGTCTTCGAGGGCTTTAATGGGCTTAGGGGTTCAGCGTTTAGAGTTTAGGGTGTTAGGGGTTTAGGGTTTAGGGGTTTAGGCTTTAGGGGTTTAGGGTTTAGGGCTTAACTTTGAGTTGGAAGGGAATAGATCTGCAGGTCTTCGAGGGCTTTAATGGGCTTAGGGGTTCAGGGTTTAGAGTTTAGGGTGTTAGGGGTTTAGGGTTTAAGGGTTTAGGGGTTAGGGTTTAGGGGTGTAGGGGTTTAGGGTTTAACCTTGAGTTGGAAAGGAAGGGATCTGCAGGTCTTCGAGGGCTTTAATGGGCTTAGGGGTTCAGGGTTTAGAGGTTTAGGGGTTGGTAGAGGTTTTTAAAGGGGTTTAGGGGTTCAGAGGTTTAGAAAGGTTTAGAGGTTTTTAGAGGAAAACAAGGGGGTGTACTTACTGGTTTAGGGTTTCGATAGCCAACCGAGATGGTCCAGATGTAGTGCCAGCATCGGACTGAAAATCCCGAGAACCACAATAGGGATGTTGTTTAGGGCTTAGGGTTTAGGGTTTCGGGGCTCGGGTCTAGGGCTTACCTGGAACCTCTGGGGCGTTCTTATTTCCGCCTGCCTGTTTTCGAGGGGCAAGTTCAAGCTACGAGGGTAAAGAAACGCCTGCAAGGTCAAGAATTGCCTTCGGGATTTCGGGATTTTGACAGGAATGAAGGATGGGGGACGATGTTCATTATTTCCCACGAAGTCCTAACCTGGGACCCCGTACGTGATCAAGCAGGGTTAGAGGTCAGAGTGCACACCGCAAGAATCCTTATGAACGTCTGTATGAACTTCAGCCAGATGAAGACACTTGTATACCCCCAGGACCCTAGCAACCTTGTATATACAACAACCCTGTATCGAAATAGGGACACCAAAGCCAAAGCCAACCTTACAAGCACCCGCCATCAATGGAGAATGGACCACCTCCTCGCGACCATCGAATCCAGGACCCGTCGTTCATGAGAATTGGCAGGGTTTTGTGGGTTCAGGTTAGGTTGGGTGCGTGTAAGCATATATACATATATGCATATATATATATATATATGGAACCATATATAGGCTTGAGTGGTTTTAATTGGGTCAGAGCGCAAGGAAATTGGCTAGGGGGTTAATTAATGGGCATTGGCCGCTGAAAAGATTAGGTTTGGTAACACCTTCCACACGCTCTTTCAGCCACTCAGCTGCCCAGGGTTGCTTCTGCGAAGTTGCCTTTGTAAGCAGCTTAGCGACCAGCTTCAGCGTTGCACACGTAGCACCCGTCGATCATCGCCTGCCTCTCGCTTTGCCTTTCTTGCGGCGACCAGCAAAAGCAGAAGCACCAGAGTGCTGTCCTTTACCAGTCTTTCCCCAGTCGCGCACTATAAAGGAAAATTTCAGAAGATAGTGATGTAGGAGGTGTCGCTCGAAGTGCTCCTTCTTAAATCCTATGCGTCGAGATTGTCGCGAAATGCGTCCTATAAAGTCCTCCGATTGGCTGCAGTCCCAGGCGGCCGGGTTGATGGTTGCATGGCGGTTCTTCTGGAGTGCCACTTCGAAGTCGTGTTTATAATGACATAGAGCATTTTACTTCGGTGTGAGGCCAAACAAAGGCATCTGCCGCATCAGGCAATATTGTGCAAGCTGAGCGTAGCCTCTGAGGAAATCGTAAAGGCTCCGGCGAAGAAAGCGAATGCAGCTCTGACCCAACCAGAGCGAGTGGCCGTGGATTCCCTGAGAGAACTGCAGCCCTCCAGCTACAGCCATCTCGAGGAAAGTACAAGCACGGCAAGTGCGAAAATCGTGGCCAGTGCCCGCGCTGCAACCACGGCTGCGAAGCTGCACCAGGAGCACCCGCAACCATTTCAAAAGGACGATTGTGTCCGATCCCTTGCATCCAAGCCAAGGGAACGCTCCTCCAGCTGCAAAGTGCATTTTTTTCTTGCTGAAGCTTCTGAGGCCCCCAACATGTAAAGACGCAGCTTCCATAAAAAGCTGAAACTGTCTCCAAGCTCTTGTGAGCCTGTTGTCAACAGACTTAGACTCACCCCGAAGGTCGAAGGCTCCCAAGTTGCACAAGAGCAGGATGGCGGAAGCCAGAAAGTTACGCGCCACACCTGATCGAAAGAATCGAATTCTGTCACCACATGCTTCGATCTATACCTGATTACAGAAACCATATACGTATATAAGGACACGGATATGTGTACACAAGCAAGCAGCGACCCTAGCTGCTCTGGCAACCAGTACAGAAGTCAAGGCCTCCATGTACAAGTTCCCAGTGCCTGTCAGACACCTATATATATGCACATGTACATGTGTATGTGTATGTATGCAGGCATATAAGCATGCCTGTGTGTACGTGTCTTTTTATAGCTATGTTTATACATATAAATATTCACAAAGAGATGATACATGTCTACATATATATATATCTGTACTTGTATACTGAATATATATTCAATATGTGCATATCTATGTATGTGTTAATTCGGGCTTTACACACCCCGTTCCACAAAAAAGGATCCTCTACGAGATAAGTGTATGTGCACATCTTCCACACATCTATATATATATATACATGCTCGCGAGTATAATGCAAAAGTCATGAAAAAATGCTGGAGGAACCAAGAGTCCTAGCCGGAAGACGTGGAAGGGATCTCTGCGAAAGAACTCGGGGGCTCGCGATGGAAAGGAGTTCCAGTTGTCGAACGGCAGTTGCCCAAAACTCGGCAGCCGTTCCCATGGAGCGGACCTGCCAATGGTCCTAGTCCACGCAGCATTTGCATTGGCATCCTCCATAGGCGTTTCTTCAAACGCAGCCTCGCACTCGATGCACACAGGAATGTCCCGTGCCCGGCCCACGTGCTCATAGCTCCTTTTCAAGCCAGCATCCCGTAAGGAGGTGCAGTGGAACTCAAAGTCCCCCTTCAATCCCAGAATTCCAAAGTAGTAGCGCTGGCCATTCACAGCAAGGCCAGTCTCAAAAAGCTCACGAAGCTGGCTTGACAAAGATTTGAAAATGTCCGGTAGAAGCTGCTGGGGCCACTGCTTGCTCGGAAAAGCAACAAGAAGAAAGCGGGTCAAGTAAGAGTGGTACTTGCCATTGCATCTTTGCCCAATCTGAAGCACAGGTTCTGCACAGGTGCAGGGTTTGGGTTCGGTACGGCCAATGCCCAGCGTAGGCTCCAAGCTGATTATCTCCAAGGGTTGCCTGGGTTGTGGTTTCAAGGGGTCCTTGATTGAAACATTTACGATCAGAGGTACCTCTACATATACATATAGGGACCACATAAGAGCAAGTGACAACGTTCCCAAATTGCCACCTAGTTGCTTTTTTTGTGTGCGGCCACCATCGCCGTGCAGGCTGAGTGGTATTGTCCAGCGCAAGCGTTCAGCAGGAGCCCCAAACACAGCATGCGATGGATGCATGTCTCGATATCGGCCCCAAAACAAAGCCAGTCCACGGCCTGCAGCTGGCTCGGACGTAGCATGCCCTCCCAACAACAGTTCAGCATGATAGTTCAAGAGGTGGGAAAGGACATCTTTCGGCGCCAGGTAAGGCAGAGTAAAGTTTTCGCTGCCAACCATCAAGGTATGATGTGAAAGTGGGATATGAGGTCGAAGGCTAAACTTGGAAACGACCTTCTCCACATGTCTGGCAGAGTTCTGCTCAGACAGTCCCAAAACACCACCAAGCTCTTCTCGGGTGGCTTCCACGCCCTTTTGCAGGACCATGGCCCTCTGATGAGCCGTCACAGAGCTCGCTGGTGCCTCGGCTTTAAATTGACCAGATCCGACTATGTTCGGAGAACGTACTACATGCGTCCACGAAGATATACGAACAAACATATACATGCACACATATAAAGAGATGCACATTCTTGCACACGTGTCTAAAGCTACATACATACACGTGCGCAATCATAATCACGCGGACGATCTTATGAAACTTGCATCTGTATACATGTTTACATGTACTCATGCATACATGTACATACATAGAGATTGTCACCATGCACGACGTTCTAATGCGTTAGCTTACTAATAGGTTCGTAATCATTCCTCTAGTGTCAGCCAGCCATTAAAGTGAAGACACATGCAAGGTTTTTTCAGCTTCAAGGTCTCAAGGCCTGGTAGCTACAGAAAGCACTGTCAAAGCCTGTCTAAACAAGGCTCCATTTATTGAGCCTGTATGTAACACCGGTAGACAGATCGAGAGAAAGATCACCCTCATCGCCCGATCCTCAATCAACACAACTTCATACAATCCTGAGCAAAGCCTTGGACTACGTCAAAGGAATGCCAAAGCCATTGGACCAGAAATATTTCTAAGCTGCTTTGCAACGTAGCTATGCCCAGCATCCCTGATGGAACCCCTAGCAGAAAGAAAACCAACATAGCAGAATTAGTTCAAGACTACCAAGGAGCCCAGCAGGTTCTTAATTCGAGTTACGGAAGTTTCAGTTGTGCATGGGGCCTCCCAGACCGGGCTTGATCAAGATTGGGGTTTATATATATATATATAGGGCTTTATAAATGTCTCGGCCTGATATGCTTCACATAGATACGTCACGGGGCTAGTTTGTATGCAGACATATATAGGCTGTAGGTAACTTTATGTGTATATATATATATATAGAGACATATATATGTATATATGTCTCTATATATATGTATATGTATATGTATATGTATATGTATATGTATATGTATATGTATATGTATATGTATATGTATATGTATATGTATATGTATATGTATATGTATATGCATTTGTATCTGTATTTGTATCTGTATTTGTATATGTATGTATATATATATGTATGTATGTATGTATGTATGTATGTATGTATGTATGTATGTATGTAGATATGTAATTATGTATGTATGCATGCATGTATGCATGTATGTATATATATATATATGTATGTATGCATGTATATGTATGTATAGATGTAGATGTAGATGTAGATGGTGATGTTGATGTAGATGTAGATGTAGATGTACATGTATATGTATATAGGTGGTTTGGGTGAGGTTATGGGCTGCACTCCATGTTGCACCATCCGCCACATTCTCCAGCAGATGTTCCAGGATCGGGGTGGGCTCAGGGGCAGCTTTTGTACCTCCGCACAGGACTGAGTAAAGATCATACCCACAGACTATACAAGCTTACAACCATTGAACAGAAGCGCCATGCAGACTGGAGCAAACTGCACTTTTCACGCAGTGACCAGCTAAAGAGTCTCCTAGGCCCCGCAGGGTCAAGCAGGCCACCACTAGACTAATTTCCATCACATGTGCGGCGTGTCTAGAACACGTGGAGCGCACAGCAGGGTCCGGGGTCCATAGGATCTGGGCTTTCAGATCCCCGGAGAGTAGTCACGATGTTTCAACGTGAGTTGGGATATTATCAAAGGGATGTCTTGGTGCAGGAAAAGCAGGACATATATATACAGCAAAGCAGTCGTTACAGTCATTCCAGAAGCAGCGAAAGTAGCCTCTACGTAGATAGATACAGGCATACACATTCAAATATGTACACGTACATTTTGTAAGTACAGTGAAAACCAAGTTATAAGCATGATACATGTCCTTGCCCGCACCCATCCTCTTTAGATGAACCTTGTGGCTCGGCTCGGAAACTCACTCCACTTTAACCTTCTTCGAGGCCGCTTCTTCGTTTTTCTTCTTCTGCGTCTTCAAATACTGGAGCATCGGAGCGCATCCAGTGCTGAAGCTCAACGACTCCACGCACCTCGGGTAGGGTTTTCGAGGCTTGCACATGTGGTTTCTAACAGAGATCTACAGGTTAGCTACGTTCTTGTATTTGGTTTCTAGCAGTGGAGACTTGAATTCATACGAATTGAGTCACCATTCAGTACGTACAATAACACCGAACGAAGTACATAAACTACGTTCTTTGTCGAGTTTCACCCTATATATGGTTTCCGATTTATAGAGCTTCCCAATTAAAGCTAGTTTTAAGTTCGGGTGATGTTGTCTCTCTCTCTCTCTCTATATATATATATACATATATAGATATAGATAGATAGATATATATATATATATAAATATATGTATATAAATAGGGCATTTGTATCCTCAATACGAAGTTTTAGAATATATATATATAGATGTATATATATATATATAGGTTAAGTTTTTTTTTACAAGGGTTCTAAAGGCAAGAGACTACACACTGCTTGCAGGTGCACAGGTCCTAGCTTTGAGCACCCCCGCAACAATTTAATAGTCTGACAAGGACTCCTCTACACAAGGCCCCAATTAACTCCCTCAGTACATGAACTAGGGTTTACAGGGCTTATATAGGGTTTATAGGGTTTTAATTTGCCTCCCCCGCACAGTAGAAATGGAGTGCGGTCTTTCGCGCGGCTTACGAAAGAGGCTACATTCGAAGTATGGCCCGTACATCAGTTTGAGCCTGTTTCATCCTAGTGACAGCGACTACTCACCCTCGAACCCCCTATATATAAACATATCTTTCTCTCTGTACATATATGTACACATCGACCTTTGATGGCCCTGCCTCCAGCAACTATCTTTCTTAACCAATGTACAACCCGAAGCAGCTTTCTTGGGAGTTTCCCAGGTTTTCAATGTGTGTTTGTTTGCTGTATTGAAGGGTTCGTCTTTCTAGAACTTGTTGTCCTTCAAACAAACAGCACAGAAGCCTGTATGGTGCATATAAGTGCATTAAGATCTTCGGATTTTGTTTTAAGGGCTTCTGCAGGGCAGGATCTTGATTGGGTTATTGCCTAGTTAGGGTTTAGTTTACTTCGTTCGTTGTCGAACTAACAGTGCACAAAGCAGCTGGGTCTTTCGGGAAGCAACATGGCGAGGTCCACGTTTAACGCTAATTACACTTTGCAAAGCAGCCTAAGCTGGCAAGCTGACTAGCATCTGTACACACAGCTGGCATGCACCTGCCTGAGCTAGCCCTTCCGTTGGACAAGAATACACTGGACGACGTAGCAAAAGAATGGTCCTGAGCTCTGCTCGTCCATGCCCTCTCCACCCAAGCGGATATTGCGACAGCCTGGAGCATTAAAGAAAATCCGTATCAGGGCTGCTTCCAGGAGACCAATAATATCAGCATTACAGTGTGCATGCAGAACGGTCATCCGCTCCCACTGGACGTGCCGATCCAGCTTGTACCCGTATCCAGTGTGCAACCATCGCTGCACCGGGTTTCTGGTGACCCCAATCTTGTACAAAGCCGGGTGTTTGGAACTGATGCTCCTGATGCAAAGTTCAGCATGGGACAATATGCTAGAGGCCAATTTCGAGTTGACCAAATCAAACACAATCGCTTCCTCTGCAAAGTTTGTTTTCTCCAGGTCACGAACGACCTCATCTCGAAAGCGCGGTAGGGATGTAACATCCCCAGATAGCTGCCCTACCCAATGCCAGGGATCTCTCTGTCGGACAAGTTTTCTGAGCCAAGGTTTTTCTATCACGACCGGCTGCTGCTGCTTCACCGCTGGTACATCAGGCACCAGTGGCAATGGCTCCGACTTCTTGGAAAGTTTTGCCTGTGTAGCTTCATGCTCAGATCCCGGACCGAAGCAACCACTTGGCTGATTGCCCCAATCTTTAAGCAGTGACGCAGCATCATCATCGTCATCCCACAGCAGGGAAGCCAAGGTCCGCAAACGCTTGCCCATACCCAAACACACCGACAGGAGCACTCAGCTGGTGGTGCTCGATCGGCCATGCTCCAGCAGGCGACTCTGTCTGAAACTTATAAGATGTTCTGGGAGTGCACATGTTATACGTCTACTCTCTTACTGCGGGTAGTGTTCCGAAACTTTGCAAAGTACAGGTGACGAGTCCTAAAAACATCAACATGACACTGTATTCTGTATACCAGGAAGATCTTGTCTTGTTAGTTGCATACTAGATAGAGTGTACACAGCTTTCACTTGGAAACGAGCAGGGCCAAGAAATACCTGCATCAAGGCTCGATAACTGCATACCCCCCAAGCTTCTTCGAGATTTCTGTTGATGTAGTGATGTGTTCAAAGGAGATAAATTTGAGTGCCACAAGCATCCCACAGCAGGCTATGGAGAAGCTACCACAGAAGCCAGACAGTGCTAACTACAGATCTAGCAGTCCCCCGACATCTCAAGGATTGCCCCCACTTGTCGGTATGGCAAGACTTTTATTCATTTAATGTAAGAGCTTGGACAAGGAAACCTCATATTGAACTCATCCCACAATTAAGAGTTTTAATCAATATGTCGGTGAGCTTGACCGGAACAAACCCAAATCCACCCTATCCAACGCCCGACAGGCAGCTGCTTCTTCGCGATGTCGAAGATCTTCTTGAGATCATCCTGCTGCCTGAGAAGGAATGGATCACATTCGGGCTTTGGCCGCACTAACTGGGGCTGGGCTCCAGCGTCGCCTAGGCCAGGGTCCTCTATTTAATGTTTAAGAGAGGGACTACATGGCCTGGCAAACATATTAGCGCGTACCAATGGGCCATTCTGTTCGTATGTAGCCTTAGTCAAGATCGTTCGGGCTGACTTCTTGGAGGCAACAAAAGACATCACGGGGGCTGGTTTCTGTTCGAGGGCAGGGCTCCAAGGAGGCTTTACTTAGCTTGGCACCAGGGGGTTGTATATGTACACGGTGGCAGTGCATACGTATGTTTATAGGGTTTTGAGGGTTTATATATAGGGCTTATATAGGGTTTATAGGGTTTATAAGGTTGACAGGGTTTATACGACCTCCGTTTCCGGAGGGACCCTCGGAGCCCAAACAACGAAAACCCATAAACCCTAAACCCCAATTAAGACCTTAATTCAGCTCCAAAGGAGCAAACCCCCAAATCCGAAAAGCATGAAGTCCCAACGAAGTTTTTTTTTAAATGTCCGCTATGAATAGGGTTTATAGGATTTAAAGGGGTTTATAGGATTTATAGGGTACTTCTAAGGGTTTTCCAAGGACTTCGGATCCAATGATCAACAGGGGGGCTCATGTGGACTTTCTCCTATAAAGCAATGCACTTCAGGTAGTGCTGGGCAGGAGTCCTCTGAATGCTGGCTTCGGTTTATAGGGCTGTTACTTGGTCGTGGGATGTACATACAGGGTTTGGTTTACAGGTTACATATATATGTAATTGGGGCTTGTGACATCGGACTCAGGACACTGAGAGGATTGAATTAAGAGTTCAGAGTTGTCACAGCTGCCAAAGTCACGACACTCAGAGCTGTTCTTGTACGTGCTTCCCCATGCACATCTAGCGCCAGTGTGTCAGAGGCTACGACCCTTGAGCAAGCTTTATATACCTGAATCACCAAAACCACTCCGAAACCCGAGGTGGTTGCCGGCACGGTAGGAGGCTGCTCGGAGGCACACGCACACGTAGACACTAGGAGTCAGTAGGAAACACACCCGAGAGGCACATCAGTTCGCTTCAAGTTTGTTATTTAGCGCCACACCAAGCCAAGATGATTCAGCTTCAGGAGTTCTTAATTCCTAGAACCCCATATACACCCTTTAAACCCTATATATATATATATACATATATATATATATATGTGTATATGTATATATATATACCCTATATAGACCCTATAAACCCTATAAGCCCTATAAACCGTATACACCCTATAAACCCTAGGTAGGAGGCACCTGGATGCGTACACTCAGGGAAGAGCAGCCCTCAACTGAAGAAAGTGCCGGAACTGAGAGTGCACAAGGATGTGTTTAAGCAAGCACATGTTGCTTTCTACATGTGTATACGAGTGTATGCATGCGAGTGTGTGTGTGTGTGTAAGCGTGTATATGTCTATGCCTATACATATATATATATATAGACCCTGACTCAGATCGGTGTATATGTATATATATATATGTATACAAATGCATATCAAGTAAGATCGATCCATCTATTTGTCTACATAGCTCTCTATATATATATATACAGGCATACTTGCCTATATACATATATAGATACGAGCAAAGTCAATCCACAGACCCAGTAACTTGCTCATGTCTACATGTACACTTGGAGACGTACGTGTGTATGTGTATATATATACATGTATATATATAT